AGGGGACCTACTTAGAGCTTTTTGAGAGGCAGCTATCTCTGCTTGCTCTGGGTGCACGTTCACACATGAGTGTACTTATACTTATTCGTATTCACATATAAATGTACGCTATACAAGGTGAAGGAGGAAGCCTCAGAACATAGGAGAAAAATAAGCCCAATCAGTACTAAAAATATGAATCGCTAATTTTGCCAAGATTTCACATAAAGCACAACTCCTATAATGTTCTGAAAAGGAATGCTTTTCAGTTCTTAGTAAACATAATTATACAGTGGCCGTTTAAGTAAAAGATCTAAACTGATTTCAGTTAACCAAATTTGATCTTCTTAATCTTTATAAACATTCAAACAAAAGGCAACTTAAGTGATAATTTACAAAGATCTTAAATATCAGAAATTTCCCATTATTTTTTTTTTTTTTTTTTTTTTTAAAGATTTTATTTTTTCCTTTTTCTCCCCAAAGCCCCCCGGTACATAGTTGTATATTCTTCGTTGTGGGTTCTTCTAGTTGTGGCATGTGGGACGCTGCCTCAGCGTGGTCTGATGAGCAGTGCCATGTCCGCGCCCAGGATTCGAACTAACGAAACACTGGGCCGCCTGCAGCGGAGCGCGCGAACGTAACCACTCGGCCACGGGGCCAGCCCCAGAAATTTCCCATTATTAAATACAAAGTCTAGTAAGTTAGCTTATCCTTCTGTTTAAACTAAATTCTCACTTCTAAAATGATTTTCTGAATTCATCCAATTATTTTGCTACTTTTTTACAAATGACACGCCAGCTTCGCTGATACTGAGTCAGCCTGGCGTCTACCAACATCTTTCAGTTGAACACAAATTCTAGACACAGGTTAAAAAGTGCATTAAACAAATGTTATACATGTTAGTAGAGAGTCTTATGTGAAAAGAGGGCAAGTGTGAACCTATGTAGAGAGAAAAATATAACAACTTCTTGAATGATTCCAGTGGAATGAAAATAAAGCTCACTTTCTATTTGGCAGGATCTCTTGGCACTTGATGAAAGAGATGGTCTCTGAGGCCAAATGCTTTCTGTCAATGAATGTGAGAATAAAACCCAAGCCAAAGCAGTAAAATTGGAACTGTCAATTTAATTGGACTTGTAATATTGAGGTCATGGCATGAATCTTAAAGGAGAGGCTAGAAGCAAGAAGCTCACTCACTCATAGTCACAAATTATAAAATGCATTTCACCTGTATGTAACAATTAACAGAACGATCATCATCAGATCAGGTAAATATCACTGGGTTCCTCCTTAAGAACATGACAAACTATAAGAAGCTTGAATGATATACATGAAGACTTCTGAGGGATATAAGGTCTCCAGATTGTAAAAGTCTTGAGTTTTCTCCAGTATGCCATTTTACTGAGTGTTTATGATACTTATCTTCATTTATGATACTTATCTTCACACTGCAATTAAACTACATTTTTAACTTCGACTACCATTTAATCATAAAGACAATTTTTTATCACTTCACGTGAGTTACTGCATAGATGAAAACATAAACAGCTAAGCATCCTAGCTAACTCAGAGAATCCCTCTAACAAATCTGCTTTGCAGTGTGAACCATTCAAGTTTGCTCGTTAACAGTATCACAGAACTTTACGTGTCATGCATCTCTTGGGTTATGCACTAGGCATGCTTTTCATATTTGCTTAAGCACAAAAAGGGATTTTCCCCGGGTAACATAACAGAAAAGTGCAGGGAAGGAGGGAGGAAGAGTTTCAGACATGGCTTGTTCAGGGGGTCAGACATTTCCTACAATGACCTTGAGCTCATTCTCTCCTGCTTTAGGTTCTGTTTTCTCCATGTTTGTTTCTCTTGAGGGTGAAAGGGACAGCCAGCATTCCAAGTTTCCTTTTGATTAGTTTCAGGTCTAGTGAAAAACAGGCTCCTTCCTAACCGTCTTAAGAACAGTTCTAAGACTGATTCTCATTAGTTCTTATTGAACTGAATGGGGTCACATGTCCTTTCCTGAAAGAGTCAGTGCGGTCAAGGGAATGAGTTGTTCTCATTGAATCTGCTTGGGTCAATTTCACTTGAATCACATGAACAGAGACTGATGGGGCTATAGTTCCCCCAAAGAAAATCAAATGCTGTTATCAGCAGATGGGGCGATGGATGGTCAGGCAGAACTACACCAGGACACCAAGGTATGCTGACCATGAAGCCAGTGGTACCTAAGATATAGAGCTCCTTACTCGATTGAGCCCCTTCCTAAACACTGTGTGTAATTTTATATTTTTGTTTTTGTATTATTTTCAGCCTTCTCCAAATTGTATAGGCTTCAAAAATTTACAACACATGGATCTTATTCTGACAAAACCTAACTCCATAAAAGTTCTATATCATTAAGGTTACTTGACTTGGGGAGCAGGACAGGATTACACCCCCTGAGAGAGTTCTTAAAAAGACAAAAAACAGTGAGTGAACCAGAGAAATATAGAATGATTGCTCGGCTGCATTAAATATTCACTTGAGGTTGGTGGTCAGGAATGTAAGGTGAATCACATCAACACGTGATGCATTTTTCTCCAGGTTCATTCATTGTTGGTATGGAACAGGTGGAGAGTTGAATGTAGACAGGTCTGTGATTTTATTAAAGAACAATGAAGTGAGAGAGAAGGAGTAAAGGGTATATACAAAAGTAAAATTACATTCAGTTACCACAGGAATTCAGCTGATTAAGGAGGGAAGAAAGAGTATGCAGAGTTTGCTGAGTGTCAGTAAAAGGTGGTGGGGATAATGAATTGGAAATCCTGGTAGAACCATTGGTGGAGTCAGGAAACAAAAGGAAGAGCATTGAAAATGTAAGAGGTCGTAATCAGCGAGAATTGGGTGCATGAAAGTAAGATTATAGAGAGCTTGCAGATTCTGATGATGCCCCGATCTAGGGTATGACCACGAGAATAAGTAGCTCAGGAGAGATTAGAAGACAGGATCATTGGAAGAAAGGCCAGGGTAAGCTAGTCTTCCTCTCATCACTGGTCTGCAGGTCTACTCTCATCCAGATTTCTCTGATTACGGTACTCATCCTCTCATCACTGGTCTGCAGGTATACTCTCATCCAGATTTCTCTGATTACGGTACTCAATTTAAAGCTTATTAATCATAAATGCATATCATCTTTCTTCACAAAATCTCAAGTTTTCATTGGGAGAAATGTTCACTACCCCACTGTAGGTTAATTTTAAACAAATCATAGTGGGACTAACACAATCAGAGAAGCCTTATTTCAGCATTTATTTGCTATTTTCTTTCTTTTATTAAATTCCTAACTAATTCATAGACTCAAATCTATGATTCTATATAAATAATTATTGTCACAAAATATTATACCTTCTAGTAAATCCATTTAATTAATATATTATGTTAAAGTCTAGTTTATATTTCACTTTCAAGTATTCTGCTAAAAACATCAGAACGTTAAATGAAAATATTAAGTGGAACTATGAAAAAATGATCAAATGGTAGATAGAATATGAAACTGGAGAAAAAATCAAATATGGATTATTTATTCAATCAGAGATATTCACTGATATATTAATTTCAGAAAAACAAGGTTCTTTGGTGAAATTCACATAAAAATTAGAATTCAAACTGTACTAAATGCATTTTCTCCTACAGGTTTGAACTCTAGTATTTCATAGGCATATTGATACTAATTGAAGACACTTATGGATAAAGAAATATGTGAAGAGTATGCATTTCACGCCACACTAGGTTTAAAAAATATCTATTCTCACTAAGATATACATCTTCATTCTGACCATGAGACTATCTGGAGCTATGGGAAAGCCATCATTAGTCCCATTATTTTAAAAATCTACAAATATCATAGTCATACTTATGTCTTGGCATCACCATTTCTACCCCGACCCTGCACTGGTCCATTGTAATCTCCACAGGAAACCTCTTGATGATAGTACCTAATGATACCACTGATGGTAATTCTGAAATGAACCCTTGGGATGTTGTGCTGTCGTTGTCAATATTCTCTGATGGACACTGCAGTAATGGCTAATGCTTGCCAAAGTGTTTCAAGAAGTGGAAAAGCTTCTTAATGCCCAAACTCGATACGGTTACTTTCATGAGCTTCAGAGCAATATTTTGAGTCCTTGGAGTACTATAGTAATTTTTTAAATTACATAGTTCTTTCAGTTTTTTTCTTGGGAATATACAAGGGCTAAGCCAGAGATTTATTGGAATAACAGACATACCTCTACTCCCACGCATTCTTCTACTTAGAAACAGATAAAATGTTTTTAAACTCTCTTTCCCCTTAGGAGCAGTATATTTTGCTAAGAGCCTACTTAGTTCCTCACAAATACAGACCTATAGATAATAAAATTACCCCAAAGGCCTTCCATATATGTCTAGGCTTATCTTGATCCTAGGAAAAACACTAGACTAAAGCTGAGAATCCTGTTTTATACACTTAAAAATACGACAAACTGGGGCATGTATATGTCTTTTTTTTCTTACATTATTTATATATAATGAAATATTTCCCCAATTAGATTTTTTTTTCCAGAATACACATTTGGAGCCACCATGTAGAAATGTTCTAAATAGTACAGGATTGGAGACAAAACAGAGTTTGATCAGCCATGGAAAATTTACATTGACATCTGATCCTTAATATTTTTTAAATCTCCAAATATATTCATTGTCTGCCTTATTAACAACAGAAGATTGTCCAAGTTTTCTCTGATTATATTCAACTTGACTGAGGGCAATGAAAACTTAAAATCGCAGCCTCTGAAAGCACTACCATGCTTTACAGAATTCTTTACAGAGCAACAAAGAGATCATCCCAAGTGGAATAGCCAAATATCTAAGAATCTCTGAAGCAGGAAATGTACACAGTCCATTTATGCTTAAGGAAAAATAGTATAGCACAAACATGATTTAATAAAAAGACTTACATAGAGATTACAAAAATTCTGAGGTTTGACCCACCCGTCAATCAGGTCACTTACCAGATATCTCCTCTAGGCACTGCTTAGCAGTCTTACTATATGATAAATCCATCTTAGTAGGACTGGTACAGGAGTCGGCAGATGGTAAAGAGGTACCTTCATTTTCTGAATGTGCTCTGAAATTAACCAAGAAGATAGAAACAAATAGCAATTGCTGTCACCAGTGACTCATCAAAGTTCTCTAGCACAAGAAGAAATCAACATATTAAAACCTTTCTGTCAAGATAAGTAAGGATTTCTTTATGACTGGGACATTCCAAAGATGTCTACCTACAGCAGAATTTCCTTTCTTTCATATACAACCCAAGTAGGAGTGAGATATTAAGTCAGATTTCTTAGACTTTTCTAAATTTGAAAGTTGAATTACCAATAGTTGGTTGCATTTCGGGGGGCAAAAGACTTGAAAAGATCCAACTTTTATTGCTGTTTTTAAAAAGTCTGGCTAAATTGTGTTCTTGTGAGAATAACTAATAAAAGCACTTGAAACCACCCCTAAAATTATTTTTCCATGAAAATTATATAAAATAGATCCTAAAATACAAAGTATAAGTAAAAATAAACATTGAATTTGTTCGGGGCAATAAATGTCATCATGATGTCCTGATTTCAGAAAAATTAAAGTCAATCAAAAATAAATTCTCATTCTTAAACCTCCCTTTAACATCACATTTTAGACGTGTGTGTATGTGCATGGGTATGTATTTGTGTTTGTGTTAATATGTAAACAGTAGGTCAAATCAAGTGAAAAGCACTCTACAGAGGGACTGTATATGTTTTGATATTCCAATCTTACTTGATGCATTGCTTCTTCTTTTTATGCACAGGCAAACATTTTAAAAGGCACCGCCTTTCATGATGCAGCTTCAAAGTCTACATATATTTGATCCAAACTGCCACATATTAAAAAATTCCACAGCATAACCTATTATGACATGGAAAGAGGCAAGGCAACATCTAGCAGTGTACACAGGACTGTGTTCTTTGTAGAAATCCCATTTGCCTTCAAGTCTCATTTCTAGTACTGGGTCTGAATTATGGCAAGTGATCACTAAATATTTCTTATTGTAAAAAGATCTATAAAGAATATTTATATGTGAAGGAAGAATTCAGTGTTTTTTTTCTGAATCAATTTTTAATTATTATTTTACTTTTATTCTAAATCCTAGTGGTTAAGATTCAGTGCTCTCACTGACACAGCCCAGGTTCACATCCCAGTCAGGGAACCCCACCACCTGTCAGTTGTCATACAGTGGTGGCTGCATGTTGCTGTGATGCTGAAAGCTACGTCACCAGTATTTCACATACCAGCAGGGTCACCCATGGTGGAAGGTTTCTATGCACCTTCCAGACTAAGACAGACTAGGAAGAAGAAGCTGGCCACCCACTTGTGAAAAAATTGGACACAAAAATCCTATGAATGGCAATGGAGCATTGTCTGATACAGTGCCAGAAGGTGAGAGTATGGCACAAAAAGACTGGGCAGGGTTTCACTGTGCTGTACACAGGGTCACTAGGAATCGACTCTGTGGCTCTAAATCCTGGTTTTGTTTCAGAGAAAATAAAGTTAATAATTGATACCAGAAATATTTTACATTTATCTGACAGATCTAGAGACTCTGAAAAGCTCATTAGGATTCTACAAAATCAAGGAAAACTATATGCTGTACGTATGGATGTAGGTGTATATATAGGGATTGATATATAACATAAAGATAGAGCTACATAAGAATTCATACAAAGCTGTGCCTTGGCCTCCAATGATTTCTGGTAAACTGTTCCTATTTTACTGACTCAAAACTGAATATTAGAACCATGACAAAATTTAAAAAGAGGACATACTAGTCAAGTGACAGGATGCACCACTGAAGTCAGTAAAGACCTCAACGTTGTTAAAATCAACAGACATTTTTAGTCTTCACCTTCCTTGATATCTTGGCAGCATTCACAACAGCAGACCGCTCCTTACTTCAGGAAACTCTCCTACTTTGGCTTCTCTGACAAAAATTCTCCAGTGTGTTCCCAATTCTCTCTCGATGCTACTTTTTTCCTCTTTCTTTTTCCTCCTTCACTCAATCATTAAATGTTGTGGTTCTGGGTAGTAAAAATAAGGGGATACAGAGGGCAAAAATTTTGGAGTTCCTCAAAGCAATATCCTAAGCTTCTTCCAGTTTTCATTGCAGTCTCTCTAGATGATCTCGAACATACTCAATGCGTTAATGAGGACCTATCCATACACGAATTTCAAATTCAAATTCTAACCCAGCATTTTCTTCTGAATTTCAGATGTGTATCATAACTGCCTAGTTGACATTTCCTGATGATTGTCACAAAGATATACAGAACTAAACTCATAATCTTTTCTCCACAAACTTGTTCCTTGTTTATGGAGCCCTTGGGTGAAACCCGTAGGGGGCCTGTGAGACTTTGCATGTCTGGTCTCTGTCTGCCCCTCCAGTATCATCTTGCATAGCATTCCCCTTCTCCATCTCTCCCATGTGGCCACAGGAGTCTTCTACCCACATCCCATAGCTCATTGCCTTAACAGGGCCTTTGTACTTGATTAATTTCCTCCCCATTTCATCCAGTTACGTCTCTCCCTTCAAGTCTCAGCTCAAAAGACTCTTCCTTAAAGAAATATCCCTAACTTTCAGGTGAAGTCCCAAATTATAAGCACTTACTGTTCCCTGTACCTATCTTGACAGCACTTCATACTCTAGCAATGTAAAATTTGTGTAATTATTTGATTAAAGTTTATCTCCCAAACTAGACTCTATTCTATATGTTTAAGCTCAGCCTTGTACCCCAATACCTAGCCCCATGTCTAGCATACAGGCTGTACCCAGCAAATATTTGATAAGTGAATGAATAAATCTTGGTGGTAGTGATCATAAAATAGTATCATTAGTGGGTCAAGCACATGGAAGCAAGCATCGTATAAGGTGCATGATTGGGTTTGGATGTAAAACTTGGCTCTCACACTGAATAGTTATTGACTCTCGTGACCTTGCTAAGTTATCTAGCCTCTCTGAACCTCACTTTGCTCATGTGTAAAGCAAAGAAAAATATGTGTCTTGCAAAATAATTGTGAACTCAAATGTTATTATTACTAAAGGTCTGGAAAGGCATTCTCTTGAGGCATGTGGGATTCTGGTTAACATTAAAACGTGGCGAAGATATCTGGCTCTCTGCACAGTCTATTTCTCTTCTTCTCTGGCCCCCAAGTTCTCCTACACCCCCATGTATAACTCCTTCCCACTCATTTCTAGAGAGTCCATTTCATTCTTTTCTTCCACTTGGGTTGATTTCTTATAGGCCACTGTATCGCCCTGACCGGTTCCTTAGTCTGCTGTCTCTGAATGAAGGGAAAAAAATCCTCTGAAGTTTTCTAAGGATTTTATTACCTGCTGAAGAAGTTTAAATGGAGAGAATGTACTGAGATTGGAGACCCTAGGGAAAGCTTTCTGGCTGTCTGCCAGGAAGCCTCAGAGAAACACCATGCCTTGGTGAACTGGCTGTGAGCCAGGCCTGGCCTATAGTCCTGCAGGCTCAGTATTCGCAGACTGATCTCTCAGAAGCTGAGTCACACTAAGCAGTTCCTGACATGGCTGTCTGAAGCCCAATGCCAACTGGTTCTTACTAGAAAAAGACCAGGAGCTGTCACAGGGGCCAGAATGCTTGTGGTCATGTCAGTTATAAAGATTTACAGTATCTCCCTCTATGAAAACCTGTATGGAGCAAAAGAATATTCAGAATGTATTTTAGGAGTATAGTTTTTGCTTTGCTCCAAACAAACAGATCTTAAAAAGTATTCCTCAGGAGCTGACTATGGCTATCTTCCTCAATATATGAGAACTAGTACTCAATTCCATTGGCTAGGTACCCACTTCTCCTGTCTGAGATGCTCTTTTATAAAAACTATTCATATTCTGACAGCTCAGTCTTGTCTTAGAAGCCTTTGTTTTGATTTATTTTTTAATGTGGCATTGCATATTTCTGGCTGACTCTCCCTTTAATGTCACAAGAGCCAACCTTATTTACCTTATTTCCAAGTTCTTTGGTGTATTTTCATTGGTATTCTCTGTATGAGTTACCTACATTAGCAGTGATAGGGAAACAGATTGATCAAGGAAAGGAACGTGGAGACGCTAAACTTCAAATAATTACGAAAAAGACTTAGAAGTCATCTTTGGTTTGTATGTACATGCAAATGGTCCAAATCTCTGCTTTACATATGTTACAAGCCATCCATTTCTCTAGGATTTCCACTTCATTATTTGTTAAAGTGGAATCAGATTTCAACTCTGGTCTCTAGAGGGACAATCAATGCTAACTGGTAAAGATTTAACTTTTATACAAATGATCAAAGAAGTTCAGTTAAATCTCTGAAGACTCCCAACATGTTCTCTGTTTTTGGGCATGCTTCATTCCAGTAAAATAAAAGGTTTAGGGCTTGATTCATAAAACAATTTATGAAAACCTCAGAATCAATAGTGTTCTCCAATCAAAAGGCACATTTTGACAGGTAAAGTGAACACTGCAGTGACATCATTCACTGTTCCCACAGAAACTGATATTGCATTTCCCTCATATTGACTAGAAAAAGAAAAAAATGAGTATCATGACATTCCTTTAAAATATTTAGCAGATACAGTCCTGTGCAGACTATCTTAGTGTGCATTTACAACATAGTCAACACGTTACAAGTACCTATTGATATTCTAAGATATAGCATTGCAAAAATGCCATTTAACTTAATTAGAGTTCTAACAAGCCAGGCCCTCAGTGCTAGTGTCTGTTACTAAGAGCTGTAGTGGTCAAAAGTCTAGACTTCACCAATGATGAACATAAAAGCTACTTCCTGTTTCTGTGCATGTAATTAATATGTGCCAATTTCTGTGCCTAGTGTTTCATCTGTGGCATATCACTCAAACTTTACAAGAATTCTGTTGCTATGGACTGAATGTTTGTTTCCCCCCAAAATTCATATGTTGAAACCTAATCCCCAATGTAATGGTATTTAGGATGTAGAGCCTTTGGGAGGTGCTTAGGTTACAAGGGTGGAGCCCTCTTGAATGGGATTAGTGCCCTTGTAAAAGAGACCTCAGAGAGCTCCCTT